CGAATCATTTTTTTGTATTAAATCATATCGAATTCAAAGATTTTAATAAGTAAATGTGAAGTAACTGAAATTTATACTCGTATTATATTGTATCAAAATTTGGTGTCGGACAAATGTCACTTTTCGTTCGGACGTTATTGTCAACAGCAATCTTATTAAAGAAGATAAAATAAAAAGGTTCTATTATATTTGTAGCCCGGTCTTCCATGCATCACACAAAATAATCAAAGTTCATAATCTACTACCACATTATATCCATGGCTTTGAGAAATTCAATTATGATGGATTTTAAAATTGTTTTAAAATCCATCATAATTGAATTTCTTATCCAGTTATTTCATTATCCAGCCTTATAAAGTCTTCAGGAGATCTGAACATTTTCATTTCTGCCGAGTGTCGGTACTTTTAGTGTCCGTCATTCGCATTCTTATAAATGAATGAATGAATGAAATGAATGAAAAGTCATTTATTCAGTCTAGGCTGTTACAAGCACTTGTGAAAGTCAAGAAGCTACGCCATCGGTTCGCAAAACTACGGCGGGAGACCTTGTACTGAGAAGAACCGGCAAGAAACTCAGCAAGGGCTGCTTTTTTCTCCCTGTATTGATATATACAGAGTCGTCAAGTTGAAAAATGACTTCAGACATACTTCTGAAGTATAGCTGGCTTTACCATCATATATACATAAGATGGTGGTGTTTATTTATTAGTAAACTAGCGGACGCGATAGGTAGTATTAGTATTTAAAATATAAAGACATTTAAGCGTTATCCTGTAACCCGCATTCACTGATAAATGGCGGTAACTTTCTTTTTCTTTTGCTTATAATTTTGTTATTAAATTCACTATGGTTCTGTAACATTAACTGATATGTACTAAAGGATTCATGTAATGCATAAGAATCTGTAGCAAACGGGCTTTAGGAGGATTTGAGCCTGGGGGTCGTAACACAGGTTTTGTAACCTAGTACAATCTCCAGCTCTCTCAAAGAACTGCATTGTTATTACTGTTTTGTCATTCAATACCCTTTAATTAATTATAATGTTACTTTGTGACTTTGTGAGAGAAAATAAATAAATCATTCATTCATTCATTCATTCATTCATTCATTCATTCATAGGTGATCTGCCCAAAAAATAATTTAATCAAATTAAAAACTCATATCATCATCATCACCAGCCTATTAATGTCCCCATTGCTGGGGCACATGCCTTACTTATCCAGGGAATAGGGAGATTGAGCCATGACCCACCAGCCCGCACCACCCGCCCAGTGCAAATTGGTGGGTGCTAACGACGGCAGATGTAGCCGGGACCAACAGCTGAACGTGCCTTCCGAAGCACGGAGGAGCTCGAGATAGTAAATTTTTGATCACCCACCCAATAAGCGACCACTGCGAAAGTTGCTTAACTTCAACAATCGCAGCCGAACGCGCTGATCACTTGCGCCATCGAGCTCCTCGTAATACTCATATGCTAAAAAACCAAGTCCAAGTTCAGATATTTCAACCAATTCAGTTATCAAGGCCACGAGCATCTAAGATGTTAATTCAAATTAACGCTTAATTATGTTTTAGCCATCATAACAATTGACAAAGATAGAATTAGGCTTAAACATGATGAGCTTTTTAATTTGAATTAAGTATAAAGGACACCCGGCATTTTGTGCCAAAGTTGTATACTTTTTTAATTTTTTTATCTGTGTTTCATAATTATTAGGTAACGTAGTCTGGCAATATTTGTCATCAGCAGCTAGCTTAATGAAGAATTGGCTGTATGGATTTCATCCAAGGCCGTTAAACTATTAAAAAAAAAAAACAGCAGCTAGCTGTCAATGTCAAATATGTAGGTTTGTCAATATAATCTCTATTTAGTAGTAGCCGGGTCGTCAAGAGAAATAATGGATAAAAAGGCAATCACAGCAGAGAACATTCACAATCACAGTTCGCGGGAGCGGATGCGAAATGCGAATGATTTTTTTGTTTGTATTTTCGGATTGTCAAATTGACATTTGGTTTTTCATTTAGAAAAAGCAAAGGAATCATGGTTTTTACAGTCACTTGAGTAATATTTTGAAGTAAAATTCTGTCCCTTGAAGATTTAGGGTTTCCATATCAAAAAATATTAATCATTTTATAACTTCTTTCCACGATTCACTAAAAATAAGGCAGAAGTAGTTTTATGTAGCAAATAATTTTGGCTTTATTTTGAGACCAAATTCAACTGTATACAAGTTTAGCATTTTTTCTATGAATAGTGCCGGGTCTCCTTTTAGTACAAGTGGGCCTAAGAAAAGAACTGAATTAAAAAGCTATCGGAAAATTAAGTCTGCTGAAATAAACTATTTGACAAATAAATAAGGAGAAAGATATGTACACAAAAAGATTAGGTAGATAGAAAAATCCAGTTATAAAATGTATTCCTAAAATTACAAAACAATACTAAAATTCAATATCGTTTAAGTCAGCCCAGACCAAAAGGTCAGTCCTAAAGAAAAAAGAGAACTATTACAGTGGTCAAAATTGAAACAGTCCAGGAACATGAAGTTTTTGGAAAAACTGACCTTTATAAAATTACCTTAACGATGAAAGTTCCTTAAAATTGTATGGATAAGAACGCCTAAAAATGTGGCAATGCGTTCATTGTTTTGCTCTGAGGCTAACTGTTTATAAGATTTAACTAGATGCGGGGAATGTTCATGGGAACCACTTGGGTTTTTATGAACAGTAATATAATAATAATAATATACCATTTATTTTCTCCTCACAAAAGGTGTAACAGTACAATAGGTAACTAACTTAATCAATACATTACACATAAACCTATTATGTGGGAGACTGGTGCCCGTAAAAGGCAACTACGAATAGCTACCTGTACTAACAGGTCACCAGGCCCCGACTATGATACATAAACCATACGTGTATTGCATATCTTAATGGAAAATTGAATACCTACTCCAAATTTGAAAAATACATTGTCAGAGAGAAGAAAATTACATGTCATCTAAGAAGTGCTTTAATTATACTGCAGACTGCATTGACAATATAAATATTAAACGTAATACATAAAAATATTTATTATACCTTTGAGAAACCAAACAAAGAATCCCAAATCCAGAAGGCAGCCATCACCATTATCGACCATAAAATTAAAATAGCAGTTTGTGAGTTAGGAAAAGACTGAACAATTCATGTTATAATATGTGTATAGATTTTCGTTTCATTTGATGAACTCACAGTGATGAATGAATAAATCAAAGAAATCGTTACTGATATCTTACACGAGTGCGACACCGTCATTAGTAACGTAAAATATCTTAAGTCATGATGAGAACCATATCAAACGATTTAAAGCATCAGAACAATTTTCATTAAAAAAATCGACTTTCTAAATAAATGCGCTATAATTATGAAATACACTACTTCTTTGCATCAATCAAATTTGACGTTTAACGTAAGTTATTAAGTAAAGAATTATGGAATCAGTATTTCTTTATACTTCTTGAGTTTATTAGGCGGTATTGAAGTTAGTCAAAAAAGAGTAAAAACCCATTTAGCTAAACTCAGTACTTAGCTAAAACTTTATTAAATTTTCACTGCGTTATCCTAGGTTCTATTCCTAAAACAACGCCATCTATACATATACTTAAACAACTTCAATTAAGATCTATATGAAAGTTTTTATCATAGCAGCATAGTGCGTAGTTCTACGAAACCTCAGCACTATCCATATGCGCTGTTCAAAAAGTTCAGTATCACCACAAGATGGCGCTGTGAAAGTTTTTTTAATATTTTCAAATGCTCAATCGAAATCTTCTGATTTCCCAAAAAAAAAATATGACTAATCACCTTTTTTATTACTAAACTGTAGTTATTTGGATGGTTATGTAAAGTTTTGTTAGTTCGTATTTGAAAGAAGCAACGGTTGCGTGAATACGAGACAGGTGCGGCAGGTGAGCCAGTGCGATAAACGGCTCTAGAGCAAACGGTCGCTGCGAGAGCGCTGCGCGCGCGCACTTTTCCATGTCCCACGGCGCCTTTAACAAACCTCGATCAACGAACATGTGCTTTTATTATGAACTATGACGCGTCATTAAAATCACAATGTTCATGGCGTCCAAGGATAAACTCAATGGGAATTCGGGCGAGGAGTTCACCAGGCCGGTGGAGTCCATCATGAGGTGTGAGGACTTTAAGAGCAACTTCGCCAGAAGGCTCTCCAACCGGTATACCTCCAGGAGCGTCTCAACGAAGCCTGACACGACCTTGAAGCTGAACCCCCAAATCAAAGCGGTCGAGACAGCTGATAATGTGAGTTGAGTTATTTATTTAGTAGAATCTCTATGTGGGCGCCCTGGGTGTACGTACAATAATGGAGCCGCCGTTTTTTCTGACCCAGTTGTTTTGCAGCCGGCGTTTTGTTTGTGATTTATTTTACCTAGGTCGGTTTTTGCTTATGTAAAATAATATCTTGTAAATAGTGTGCGGCCGGTGAAAGTTCTTGCACTGACTGACCATCTAACTTGCGACGGACACGAGCTGGTGACTAACGACACGTTACCATCTTAATATATATAAATCTCGTGTCACAATGTTTGTCCTCAATGGACTCCTAAACCACTGAACCGATTATAATAAAATTCGCACACCATGTGCAGTTCGATCCAACTTGAGAGATAGGATAGTTTAAATCTCAAATTATAGTCGCAATTTTAATTTATTGCAAATTATTACTTTTGGGCGATACGAAGTTCGCCGAGTCAGCTAGTAATGATTTCGAAACGTAAACAGAAATATAATTGTATAAATTTTTTGCTGAAACAAGGTTGTAAATATATTTTTTGCAGTATTCATTTTACTCTGTGTGTTTTCCGTAGCGGTATGAAACATTTCACACACAAAGTTTCGAATAGTTTTGTATATTTATATAATAACTGATAGTTAATTTACGTTAATGCCTTTCAGATATTTCAAGCTGAAATTCGAAATAGTAATAAATAAAGACTTATTAATAGCAATATTGTATATTTATTAGTTACTTTAATGAATTCTCTGCATGTTTGGGTAGCATATTATATAGCAACTAGCTGACCCAGCGAACTTCGTACCGCCCTAAAAAAATAGGGGTTGTCCAGCGGACAAAATTATGAATCTAAACCATTCTCAGATCCCCTTGAACACACACAAAAAATTTCATCAAAATCGGTCCAGTCGTTTAAGAGAAGTTTAGTGACATACACATATAATTCTTATATATAAAGATACTAGCTGACCCAGCGAACTTCGTACCGCCCTAAAAAAATAGGGGTTGTCCAGCGGACAAAATTATGAATCTAAACCATTCTCAGATCCCCTTGAACACACACAAAAAATTTCATCAAAATCGGTCCAGTCGTTTAAGAGAAGTTCAGTGACATACACACTCACAGAAGAATTATATATATAAAGATATTGCAGGTTTAAAATAAAATACTACAAATATGATTAATTACTAAATATTTTAGTTGTTGTGTCACGCATGCAATGCGAGCTGTACTGTGACTGTAATAATGATAAATTATTATTGAACAAAAAAGCAATATGAACATTAAGTCTTAAAGAAAAAAAAAATCTTATAAGTTAAAAAATAACTTTTAAAGTTGTGCTCTCATAATTAGTTAATAAATTGCCGTTTGTGGCAATGTGTTTTGTTCAAGGCTTTGAAGTTAAACGATATGAATGTTCATTACCATTTGATTCATTCAACAAATTAGTTGACACAATATTATAATGAGAACTTTTGAAAATGCTTCATACATCCTCTTCGTCCGGTTTAGGATAACGTTGCGAACTTTATTTCTCAAAATTTCAATTGTTTTTGCGTGAGGATATCTCTTATCTAATAGACAAGTCTGTCCATCCGTCTGTGGTGCTGTTTCAGCGGCCAAACCGTAAGAGATAGATAAAGAGAATGTTTAAGTTATAAGTTAAGAATAGTCTGATAAGACTACAAACGTAGCACTTCCGGTTTTCGAGAAATCTGGTTTTGGTGAACATTTGGTTCACTGGTTTGCTAGTTGTTTCATATTTCTATACCTTTCCTGTTACACTTAAGTAGGTAAGGAAATGTATTTTCAGGAATTACCACTGCTTAAGTTAATGAAGCTTAGTAGATTAATCTTATAGTGAAAGAAGTCTAATGCTCCGTAATTTTTATTTATATAGATTGCAGAGTACAGTTTTGATTAGAATGCGTCTTCATTCCAACGTATCATGGTGTTATAGGGATGTCGAAAGTTGAAAAAAATATCGATATATCGATACATCGATCTTTTAAAAAATATCAATATCGGCTTCGATATATCGCGAAAAAAACATCGATATATCGATATATCGGACCAATTTTCCCAAAAATATCGTACAGTAACTCACGAAATATGACACGCGGAATAATAATGGGACGAAAATTATCTCTCTAAAAATAGACCCTATTTTCGAATGATAAAAATGATTGCAGGGTCTCTTTCGTTAACAAGACTAGACAATCACACACTTCACAGAATATAATGGTAATCAGCACAACCAATTCACCAGCGAAACAGATTTACAAATAATAGACAATACTAAATACAGCACAGATCATAGATATGTTGAATATCATTAATCTGAGATCCAGTTACGATTTTTCCAGATACGAATTTAGTTAGATCGTGATATGCCGCTAATAATTAAAAAAATATCGTTTTTGATACGAATTTCGATATTAGTCATTTTGTATCGATGTATCGATATATCGAATCAAAATATATCGGCAAAAAATATCGATATATCGATACATCGATATATTTTCAACAAGCCTATGGTGTTAGCTTCTAACATCATTGAATGAGCAACATCATTAGTATTTCAATGATGCACACATCATCATAAGCCCACCGCTTTATCGTAATTAAGTATATATATTGCGGGTTTCTCCTTTTTCGTTGGCGAACATGTGAATAGTTTGGCAGCTCATTGTTTACGCAAACAATACGCACCTGTCTATTGTTTCCACAACAACAAAAAACCAAAGTCGCTGACAATTTTTGCATAATTGTGTATATCTGTGGATGTGCAACGTCGTTATGTAACAAACGGGCTAACTCGCCGAACTGCGTGCCGCATAACAGGCGATGAATGAACTTTAAGATTTATTCAATTAACTAATACAAGACCAGACCAATTTACCAGAGTTATCGACATAGCCCACCGGATTAGTAAGCTGAAGTGGCAGTGGGCTGGCCATATTTGCCGAAGAACCGATAACCGTTGGGGTAGACGAGTTCTGGAGTGGAGACCGCGTCTAGGCAAACGTAGTGTAGGACGTCCTCAGGCACGATGGAGTGACGATTTGCGCAAGGTGGCTGGCAGGAGCTGGATGCGAGTAGCCCAAGATCGATCTGAGTGGCGTGCAATTGGAGAGGCGTATGTCCAGCAGTGGACTATGATAGGCTGTTGATGATGATGATGATGAACTAATACAATAAAGTACAATAGTTTATTAGGATAATTAGATATTTAGAAAATGAAAATTCAATAACGTGTAGGTATTTCAATGGCGTATTTGTAAAATTTAAAACGGCGCGAATTGCTTGGCAGGTTTTTGCCCAATATTCTCTCTCTCAGTATTTTTTTATTAAGACTTCATGGCAAATTAGGAATTGTGCAATATTTTTGGAAACTAAAATCAAATCGAGTAAAATTTATTACATGTTGAATGAAATCAAATCTAGATTATTGAAACATTAAAAAAAAACTTAAAGTCTAGAGACTCTTTGTCCGTACCTTTTTTTGTGTTAAGTACATGCAATTGTTTTACGTATTTACTTACTTACTTGTTACTTGTTGTGGGCCCCCGTTTCCGCACGTAGACTCCGTACTTGGTCCATTGTGCGTGCAGGGTGTGTTGGGCTAGCTAGCTCAGCCAGCCCAGCTCCTTCCAGAAGTGCAGTAGCCTCCTGGGGCTCTCACAGGCTTCTAGGAGCGTCCTCGGCTTCCTGAGGATTGATGCCCGGTGTTCTGCAACGCTCGTGCATTCCAGGATCACATGAGCGGCCGTTTCATCTGCTTCCAGACATCCTCTGCATAGAGAGCTATCTGTAACGCGTATGGTTAGTAAATTCTTGTTATGTGGGCAGTGCCCTGTTATGGTGCCTAGCATTACTCGGAGATCATTTCGGTTAAGATTTAGTAGTTTCCTAGTTAGTCTGGGGTTGAGGTTGGGAAAAATATCCTTAGATTGCCTGCAGCCCAATTTACGTATTTTATTCCACGTTCAGCTATTTGAAAAAAAAAACAATCCTAGGCTATTTCTAATAAAATTCAGATTAAACTCTATACAACTTATACTCCAAAATTCTTATACCTACCTACCTTCACTTCTAATACTTACAATTACATAGTTAATAATCTAATGCTCCCGACTCCGGCACGAGTTCCAAAACCCAAAACCATTTCATAGAAATGAAATGAAAAGTCATTTATTCAGTCTAGGCTGTTACAAGCACGTGTGAAGGTCAAGAAGCTACGCCATCGGTTCGCAAAACTACGGCGGGAGACCTAGACGGTAATACTTGTAATTTACAATATGTATTGAAGTTATCCGTCGCCTCCTTGCCAAAATATCAGCAGGCATTGCGAGATCCGCAGCATATATAATACTAGCCGCGCCCCGCGGTTTCACCCGCGTTTTTCTCGTTTCCGTGGAAATACCAAGATAAAATATATTGGTACCAACTCTTAACATCTTACACGCGTGATAACTTTTAAACGAAATATCCGATTGAGATGAAACAAAAAGTATTTTACTTCTACATAAATACTCTTGATAACACTATGCTTAATTTCGATAAAGATTAATATTATGACACATATTTAACGTAGTTTTTTTTCTTCAGACGATTTAACAATTATTTTGAACACAAAACCGGTTATTGTGCTTAAACCATGATAGCTAGATATATGTTCTCGCGGACTTTTTTGTAGGTCTTAATGGGATCTACAAACCCGTAGTACATTATTTTGTTATATTGTCAATAATTTTTGCAACGCACGCAAAAATAGGTTTTCGATTTTATACCTTGTGTTACAAAATAGCAATTCTATAACGGATCCCTAATTTTGAAAAAAAAAATATAGCCTATAGCCTTCCTCGCTAAATGGACTACCCAACACTGAAAGAATCATTCAAACCGGACCAGTAGTTCCAGAGATTAGCGCGTTCAAACAAACAAACAAACAAACTCTGCAGCTTTATAATATTATTAAGTATAGATACGAGGGAAGCTCAAAAAGTTCGCGGAATAAGAGGGAAGGTGGTTGAAATTAAACGCCAAACTATTTTTCCTTTTTAATATATTCTGCCTGTTTCCCTGTTTTACCAGGGTCAGAGCCCGTAAACCGCCAACAGCTCCTGAAAATTAATCTGAGCGGATTTTCCTTGCTTGGTAAGGAACTTAAAAACGGCGCTGTGTTCAATTTTGTCCATACTGGCTGACTTCTTCCCGATTCAGTTGTTTGAAAAGTTAGTGACCCGATCAGGTTCAAACTTGGTATATATACTGTTAATGAGGTGCTAAACTAGTGCCTACCTGGACGAGTAAACCTACCCCCACCAACTCCTCCATTCTGTGAACTTATTGACCTAACCTCGTATTTCAAAACGTAAACAGAATGTGTATTGTGTATAAATTTTTTGCTCTCTACATTTATTAGTTCTTGTAGTAAAGAATTGACCAAGCCACATATTTTGCATAAGGTGTTGTGTAGAGTTTGTGAAGTTAGGCCTTGTGATTTAGGGCGCTTGAAGTTAGAAGCCTGGCTCTACACGAGATCAATTCAATTCAATTCAATTTATTGCACTCATGCGGTTTCATCGATGGTTACAAAATGCTTATAGTATCTAACATGAACCCTGTCAGGGTATCGCAATATACAGTCTTAAAGATAAAAATTACAAAAGAATTTAATTATTAAACAATGTAAGGAACCTAATTTGCATTAAACCACAGTGCAGTGATATTCTGTAAAATTTTCATGCGTAGATCCGATGTGGATGAAAATTTTACAGAAACCTATTGACAGCGCAACTGTTAAGGCTTTTATACTATTTGACAAGAAACTATGAGTATAGAATTAAAGATAGAAGATCTACCGCTAGTTAAAAATAGTTATAATAGACTAGCAAACCAGTGAACCAAATGTTCACCAAAAAAAATGTATTTAATGAATTGAGAACTTCGGAGATTTTGTGTGGTTTCGTTTTAAACTCGTGATTTCTCGAAAACCGGAAGTGCTACGTTACTCAAATCCGGTTTGTAGTCTTATCAGACTATTCTTAACTTATAACTTAAACATTCTCTTTATCTATCTCTTACGGTTTGGCCGCTGAAACAGCACCACAGACAGACGGACGGACGGACTTGTCTAATAGATAAGAGATAGGACAACAGAGAATACTGCTAATAGTATAGACAATACAGGACACTGTATACCTACATACATTCGATCTGTGTACCTGCATACTATAATTCTCTTTGTGTGTAAACAGTAGATTTACCGCTCCAATTGGAACATCCACGCCTACCTATACATAGGGACACGAAAAAAGTATCGATACTTTGTGGTATCGAGTACTTTTCCTTTCGATACCGAAACATTTGTACTCGATACTTGGTTTTCGATACTTCAACTAAATGAGTACTTTTTGGCAAGTATCGATACCATTAAAAATTTGAATAAGCGCCCTATATTGATGGCAACGCCATCTAGTGGAATCATAGCAAACCTTTTAAAACATTCCATTGCGTTGATATAATTGGAAGCACAAGCAATATAGTGTGTCCCGAGACTTACGTACTTGAATTACGCACGGTTAGTTTTGTAGTTGATTATATTAACATTACACATTTTTAAGAGTATCTACATAATATAGAAATTTGTGAATCAACATGTCCTTATTAAGTTTTTAATTATACGTACTATAATAAAATTTGATCGTTTTTCTTTTAATTTTAACCCGGGGATGGGGGTGAGGGGGGTTGCTCATAAGGCCCTATGAAATGTACTCGATACTTCGAAGTATCGATACTTTTGTTTCATTACTACTCATGAGTATAGTATCGATACTTTCTTTTCGATATCGTGTCCCTACCTATACAGTGATGCTTCTAGCAGGTAATTAGAACCCCATACGTTTTACATACCTACTAGTGGTTCCGATTACGACTGCTGAGTTCGCATTGCGTTATAGCGATTGCGTTTATAGACAAAAGATTTTCAAAGTGATACACTGACAGTGTTGCCAGGTCCGATTTTTAAAAATCGGGAGGCGTTATAGAAAAAAACAGTAAATGTATGGAAAGAGCTACAAGAAAAACAGTAGATGCAGAGGCGTACTTCTTCCGATTCATAAAGCTAGTGTTTTGTTTGTTACCTACATTATTAATGGCCGAAAATGCAACTCAACATGCTATTTAAAAAAGAAAATCGTATTTTAAGAAAAACAGGAGATTCATGTACAAAAACAGTAGAACAGGAGAAAATTCAGAAAAACAGGAGATCTCCTGTAAAATCTGGAGACCTGGCAACACTGTACACTGATGATGGTTTATTTACACCATCAAAACATTCTAGTCTGTGCGGAAAGAGAATGGGCGTGGCGAAAAACGGAACTAACATTATGATTCTTTCTAATTTGGCAATGAAACCCAGCAATCTGTTAAACGTCAAAGTTTTGTAATGATACGGATTTGTTTGTTGTTGTGATTTCTTGCGGGTTTTTTTATTTAATCATGTCTAAAAGGGGTAACCTTACAAATAAGGTAGAAAAGCACTACAGCGCCCTCCAATCTAAATCCCGTTCTCTTTCCGCACAGACTCTATCAAATAAGCAATATTTTTTTTCGTCTCATACTTTTTCCTATAAACCTTAAATATTAAGTCATGTCTGTCTATTTGTCTATGTATCCTTTTACTCCTCCTACATTGCGATTTTCTAGACTGTGATTTTCCACAATAGTTTTATGAAATTAAATGAACTTACGAGTAATATACTTTATTCAATGTGATTTATTGAAAGCTCTCCTATTCAGGACATCTTTTATTGATAAAAAAAAGAAAAAAAATATATGAACTTATCAACATTTTACAGAAGTAGCAATATTTACATAAATCATGTCGCTACCAATACAATTAATAAAATTGTGTCGTGTGAGGCGGGTCGTTACGTTCCTTAAGATATGGTTGAGCGAAGCGATGGCTGGTACATGCGTCTTACTTGTGAACGGATGCTGCAAGCGGAGATGGGTCTGCCCTAACTTCCTTGATATTGAAGATGTTAATGTTTAGTTACACTTAATATAAATAACGCTATTTGTATTTATACTGTATGACACAGCAATCAAAATGCAGGTAAACAATAAATGTATATTTAATCATTATGTTATGAAAGGTGACTTATTGAATCATCTCTGAAATCATTTTTCAACTTGACGACTCTGTAAATAATAAAACAGGGAGAAAAAATATCTCTTGCTGAGTTTCTTGTTGGTTCTTCTCAGTACAAGGCCTCCCGCCGT